TCAACAAACTTCACATACAGGGTGGGACAAAAATACTAAAACAATGTTTGGGTGAAAGCAAATACACAATGTATACAAAACAACATACTCGATAAACTTCACATACAGGGTGATACAAAAATACTAATAATATTGACAACTTGACTTTTGAGTGAGCTACACAAAATAACACAACGTAAAAAACTTTGCTCTTGTTCTGAAAACTAAATGAGACTGCTCTTAGGCAAAGCTAAACAGCACCTCCGATCACGAGTATTACACTTGTCATCATTCAGATACAAGACAAGAAACACAAAAGGGGACTCAGGGGAACACAATCTTCTATTTAACCCGTGGCATAACACAAACGCCGTCAAAGAGGGCTAATTAGGGAACAACAGGGAACACAGGGGAACTACTTCTCACATTCACAATCTCCTATTTAACCCGTGGCATAACACAAACGCCGTCAGAGAGGGCTTAGAGGAAACAATGAAATGGCTTAGGACAAGGGACACAACACAACTACTCTCATCAGCTCAAAGAAAAGTCACTCAAACAATAAACACATTTACTCAAAATGACCGGACAAAACAAAATTACAAAAAACGATTATTCTGTAAGAAATGTCAAATCAATTAAAAATAAATGTAACAACAACGGTATAATTTGTTATTGTAAATAACTTAAAATTCAATATTCAATCTCAAAATATTTGCTTTCATTTACCAATACACATAAAATACATATAGAAAAATTTCTACAGTACACAAAATAAAAAAACTACATTACATATGTCAATATACAACAAATACATCTGTTGATATACAATAATGCATATGTTAATACAAGAACAATACATAGAAAAAACAACAATACATATGTTGATACAAATACAACAAACAAACAGTTTGTGGGACACCGGGGCACTACCTGGAAGACAGGGTTTCATAAAAATGGCAGAAAATTATGGCAGAAAAATTGGAAAAGATATATGGCTTCGGGAAAAGGGACAAAAATCTAAAAAAACGCCCCACGATGGTCGCGCCATTTTTGTAACGTAAATATTTTGCCTACCACAGGGAGCATTAATACGGGAGATAGAAAATTGGGGGAAAAAACTATTGGGGGTGGAGATAGGGCAAGCAAAATAATCGCTACTGATGCAAACGGCACTCAGGGTTTCGTAGGAGAGCTGGGGTCGTGGATAAGTAAAAGATAAGGGCATTGGAATGGGGCAACTACAAGAAAATGAAATAAAGGGGTCACTAATCTCTTGGGATAAACAAAATAAAAATAAACAAGAAACACCTCAAGGAATTTAATATAGGGCGCCACTTGAGGTGCCTAATCATGCCTATTACAACCACTAGTTGTAACTAGGAAAATAATTAGAAAACAAATCAAAACATAAAAAACATATCTTTTTCAAATAAGAATCAAAAAAGGTTTGGCTCAAAAAAATAAATAAAAAGTTAAGACAACAAAATTTAACCTTTATTTATGTGTCACCACAAACAGTTACATGGAGAAAAAACAAAATACAAAAACTTAGATGTGTCATCCGCTTAGAAACTCTGTTGCTACAAAACTTACAAAATTGCATGGAGGTTAACCTTTTTTTTAAACAAAACAAAGTAAAATCAAAAAATAATAAAACGAGCTGTCATAAATTAACATTAAATTTCAAACAAACTAAACACATAAATTGACAGTTCAACTCAAAACCAAAAATTTACAATTTTAAATGTAACGAAAGCAATTATTATTTCCTAAAAAAACTGTCTGTCTTTAGTTTAAAATTTGAACAAAATGTTACCTTAATTCACATGATCACACTTAACTTTCTGAAACCATAACTGAAACTGAGGGCTCCACTCTCTCTGCATCACGAAAACCTCCATCTCCAAACTGCCAAAAGCCTTGGATAAAAGCAGGAACAAAAAAAAAACAAAACGAGGATGTCCTCTAATCCTCACTCAAAACATTAACAATTGAAGAATTTACTGCCACAAAACCAATAACAAACTGATACATATTCTTCATAATAAAAGACGAAAACAGAACACTTTACAAATTCGACGTGAATTTGGACATAACGCTGAACCGCTCTTGAACGCGGCTCCAACGAGAGTGACGAAATTATCTATTAAAATTGATCGCATAACTTGAAAACAAACAAACACTTGACATAGCAAAATCAACGAAACGGCGTACATATCCTTTTGCGACGCATCAACATAAAAAGAAGTTGCCGAAGTAAAATAAACAACTCTCAAATGGTTTTATTACTCGGCGACGAAACACTTTTGGGTACTTTGAAAGATACGAACTAACAAACACGGGAGAATTCCTCGTTTTATTTTTTAAATATATATAAGGAGTTTTTAATATATTTTATTATACGAGGAGGTTTCAATATACTCAAAAGAATCAATGAAATTGAAAATGCTACAAGTTCAATATCTATCTCAGACTCGTCTGAGACGGATGGAGATGGGGGGTCAGAGGAAATGGAGTCTGGAGCTGTACATTCCGGTACACACTCTGACTCGGCAGGAGTGTGAAATCGGGATTAGTGTATCAACAGTATGAGCTGGAAGCTCGGTGGATTCAGCGGAATCCGACGACATTTCAAAGCTGTTTACTTAGAAGACTGCAGTTTTTTGTTTTTCCCCACGACCGTGTCGTGTGGAAAAATTCTGGGTGCCTTCCCAGACCCTTACGCGGTTGTTCACTCCTGTTTACAGAAGGGATCCACTTTGAAGTTTCTCAATCTGTAGGTGCAGGGGCCGTTGCTGTCTGACCTTGATATAATAAGAAGGTCTTACAGTGTCTTTCCTGTCGACACCATACAGATATCCCGTTATTTTCTACGAATGTTAATTAATTATAGTCCTCCGAGAGAGGCCTATAAAAACAACCTCTCTGCGGCCTAGCTAATAACTATCATGCGCTCTGTAAAAAGTCAAGTGCCTGAGCCACTAACGGTGTCTTACCCACCGTGGAGCTAATAAGCTCCGTTGACTGCAGGTGAGTTGCTCCCACCAAAGCACGTCCGCACTGTTCGACTACTCGAGTCGAACTGATTGATCCTCATTCGAATCAGTGTTGCCGATGTCACGATATGGAACTATGTTAAGTCGCTGCTAAAATTATCAGATTTTGCCAAAAATTATGTTAAAATTTTTGCAAAATTATGTTAAAAAATTTTTTTCTTGGTAGTTTCTAAAAGTAATAAAAACACCTGGAACGCTTTCAAATAAAATTTCCTCATTATCATCTTGGGAAGATGAAGAGTTCATGTGATTAAAATAATTTAACATTTTTTTGTCTGTTTGAAACGACTAACATTCTTTTACTACTTTACTTGCTAACACTAGTCCATTTACTGTTGGGTACATAATTTGGGAACTAATATCTGTAGATTCGTCTATTATCACATTAAATTTCTGTTTCTTCAAAATGTTCACGATTTTTTGAAACTGAATTTCTTCCAAGACGTTAGTAATGATAGTTGTCGTTTTGGTTCTTCCCATTATAATAATACTTTTTTCAAAATTTATGAATCTGGAAAAGTGGATTGTAGAAGTGGAACTAGGTGCTCACATAATCTTATTGGAAGGTTATGCTTTTCAATTAATGCTGCTAATTTAATTTCCGCACTATAAACTTGCTCTTCTTCATCGTTATTTAGCTTATACATTTTAGACAGCTTTTTTGGTCTTTTTTTAAAACACAGACCCTCATTTTTTATGCCTTAAGAGTGATTTTTTATTACAGTAAGATCTGCACTAGATTCTGCATCACAACTAGAGCATTTTGCTTTCGTAGGTTTATCTGTAATTGACAATATTTTAAATAATATAGAATCACAATTTTGTAAAATAATTATACATTTACCTGTAACAGCTTTTAGTCATCCTTTAAATTTCGGTTTATTTTCCCATTACATTCTAAATTTTTGTGGATTATGTTGTCTTCGACCGGCACCGTATTTAGATTTTTTCGTTTCTTTTTCAGAATCAGAGTCAGAATTATGACTCTTCTTAAGTTATCTAATGCCTGGTTGCACCAATAGATCTTAAGCTCCAGCTTAGCCAAGCTCTGCTTATAGCTAGGGCTGCCTTAACTCTCACTTACGTTGCACCATAATTTTTGATTCTAAAATATTCTTTATATTCTTAAAAATAAAAATACAAAATTTGGTTGATCGCCGTCGGACGGTTTGGTCGTGGTCGGTCGATCAGTCTGAGCTGAGGCCTACCTAAGGGACGTCTTAAGCTTAAGATATGTTGGTGCAACCAGGCATAAATTACTCGAAATTTGCATGTTAATTTTTAAAGTATCAAATATAATACGTTAACTAAACTGTACAACCAAAATCCAGTAACAGAACTACAATGGTTTGTTTATGATTTATTGGAATCCAATTTATGATTTGGTGAATCCCTGCGCGATGTAGGGATTCTTCAAATTATACTTACTGTACTTTCCCGAGCTACATATAAGAATCAGAGTTATGTTAGGCAATTCTACATACGATTGTCAGCTTTTATTTTGATTTTAAATCTTATAATACGCCAATGTATTATGTACCAATTATCGACATAATTTCTAGAGGCATACGTATAAAATTATGTTAAAATTATCAATTATGTTAAAAAAATATTTATTATCAGAACGCCATAAAAATTATGTTAACATCTGATAATTATGTACAAATCGGCAACTCTGATTCGAATATTTATACACAATCTCCGAACTTAGGTAGGCGGGGCGAAAGTACGTGCTATTGGTCGACATACTAGGGCACTTGATGACAATAAATTGTCATCAAGATGTAAGATGTAAGATAATTATACAAAATAAGTTGTTTTTTTCTTATAATTTTCAAGGACCTTGTGATATTATTGTTGTTTTATTCAATTACATTCTGCGGTTTTTTTTTTCATTTCTTTTTTCTCATATTGATCCCTTTATTTAATTTTTAGACATACTTTATAATTATAAATACTTACCAATACTCTATCAAAAGCTGATGGATTTCCACCACGTTGCACATGACCGAGAACTGTTATTCTGGTGTCCTGGTGTAAATTGTCTACTACCACTTTCTTTACTTGTTCAGCAGTGATCGCTACACCGTTTCTATCTATCGCACCTTCCGCTACTATGATAATGTTCAAGCGTTGACCAGCTGCTCTTTCCTACGAATATACACCAAAAAGGTTAGTAAGTTTAAAAATAAATTCGAAAACACAATGAAAAGAAGTAACTTTGACATTTTAATATATGGTGGCGAAAAGTTATTGGTACAAATTTTACTCAGATCATCGCAAGGAAAAACCAATGCATAGGATATAAACTGACAATAAAGGACGTGACAAACCTCAAAACGTGCAAATATAAAATCTGATAGTTTTTGGATGTAAAACATTAAGTTACGAACATAATATAATATACTAGAAACATCACAAAATAAAAAAGCAATTATTGGTTTCACCAAAAATTTATATGGATAGTTAATAAGGAGAAAACATATAAAAATAGAAGAAAAAAATAACAAAAATAAAAGGAAATATACCGAACTTTAAAAAATCGAATATATTATGCAATGGAACAAATCGTAGCTTATTGCAAACAAAAAGAAAAAATAAATTATACCAGATCCATATTAATTAATGCTTATAAGATTGTACCCATAAAAAACGTGAAATAAGAAGTATATTTTAAGAATACAAAACGTCTGGATCATAAAAAATGCGGTGGACTAAAGGTATCATTAATAAACAAAATACAAGTGGTGAGGTCAATTGAAACATTCAAGTCCAATAGGACAAAATTGGGAACATTAAACGCCTCTTAGCAGTTAGTATCAGAACGATGGAAGATTGATCTAAAATTATAACCATCATTATATAAAATACTAGATTCCTATAAAAAATGACCTTTATATATAAGTTATATATAAGAATCCTAGACTACGAAAACTAATAAAAAAAATGAAAGATGTTAATCTCAATACAAATTCGACTTCTAACGAATGATATCTTCACCCAAAGAGAACAGGTTATACTGCATTGATTATATATTATTATATTTTCAACGAATATTGGACAAAATTACGTTAACAAAACATAGAATAAGCGTCATACTGCTATAGGCATATTAATTATACATCTGGTTAGCCTGGTTTCCAAAAGTTCAAGTCCACATTTTTTACTAAACATTCAATTTTACAAGATATTCGTAACAAAAAGTTTTGCAAAATAGATTAACGATACAATACTATGCTAATAAACATAAATATTAAAATATAAATCACTAACATGCAGTCAGTAAAAGCCAAATAGAATAAATTCATTATTTAGGTTACAGTACATATTTATAAAAAATCCCGAAACACGTCAAATTTAAATTATAACTTGACACTCTTTAACGTGAAAATGCAACCCCTACCATCAACCCCCTTAGAATGACAGGTACAACCCCCAATTTTTAAAATAGGAAGTATAGGCTTGTGATATATCGTTTGAAAGGTCTTTTCATTCTCCATTCAAAAATTTTGTCGCTTTCAAGTTTATTAAGATTAATTAAAATAAAATAAATTAAAATCATGTGGTTACCGAAATTCGCTAAAATATACTCAAAACTTATTTCCCGTTTAGGTGTTGATAATGAGAAAGTGAACAAAAACCATAGCAATGTGGTTTTTAGATGGTAACCATTAAAAAACTTAAAAAGAATTTCCGTGGCAACGTTATTTTAACACGCATTACTAAATTGTTTTATTTAAGTTGTCAATATTTTAAGTAAAAAGTTCGTTCAATTCAATTCTGAAAAATGGTTAGATTAACGGAAATGCATAAAATAATAGTTTTACAAATGATTGGTTACGGAGATAATACCCGAACACAACAGGAAGTAACTCGCCTATTTCATGAGAAATTTCCTAATTTACCGCCTATATCCCAAGGAACAATAAGTAAAATAGAGAAGCAGTTTCGCGAGTTTGGTCATATAAGGCAGATAAAAAAAGCAGCTGCCAATGCACTGAGTGATGAACTCAAATTAGATGTGTTGCTTGAGTTTCAGGAAAATCCACATACATCGAGTAGACCGGCATCCACTACATTCAATGCTAGCCATACATCGATAGTAAACATATTAAAAGAAAATAAATTGCATCCCTATAAGATGATACCTACTCAGGAGCTCATGGAAGACGATTTTAATAGAACTTTTTTTTTTGTGAGCAAATGATGGACATATTGGATAACAATATTATCCAATTAGAAGACGTTATGTTTTCTGATGAGTGTACTTTTTCACTTAACGGTCATGCTAATCGGCAAACTTGCCGCTACTGGACCACGGAAAATCCTCACTGGATGAGAGAAGAACACACTCAACACCTTCAAAAGGTTAATGTTTGGGCAGGGATTGTAGGAAACAATATCATTGGTCCCTTTTTCATTGAGGGCAACTTGAATGGCAACAATTATTTGGCACTACTTCAAAATGATGTCATTCCAACGTTGGCAAATTTATATCTTGATCTAGGAAACCCTCAAGTTCCAGCGAATACGATATGGTTTCAGCAGGATGGAGCACCACCACGTTACCAACTTAATGTCCGACAGTACCTCGATACAATATCGCGAGGATCGATTGAATGGCCAGCGCGATCACGTGATCTTACATTATTAGATTTCTTTTTATCGGGAAATGTGAAGAGCCATGTGTACAAAACTAAACCTTCTGATTTAAGTGACTTAAAAGAACCAATAACGCTTGCGATTAGGTCGATCACGCCTGTTATGTTAAATAATGTTAGAAGACCGTTTTATTTGAGATTAGGATGTTGCCAAGACGTTCGCGGTGAACATTTTGAACATCTACTTCAGTGGCGGCTCGTGGCTTGAGAGACAAGGTCGGCAACATATTTTTTGTCTCCTCAGATAGGTATACCGTCTAATAAAGACTTAAATCATCATCAACTCTAGTCTACGTTATTTGGAAGTAGCAAAATGAGTAATAACGTCATCGTAAAATTTATTTTTGGAGAGATTTGAAAAGTTTGTTTTCTTTTGACATTTGAGACAAGCTTGACATTCTCTCTTGTTTCATGGTATTTCGACAATACGTTTTGATTCTTTTGAGACAAGAGAAATCTCGTTCATTTGAGGCAGACGTTGGTGGTAATGAGAGAATTAATGACAATAATTTGTTAATTTCGGTAACAGTTTGTTGTAATGAATTGCAGTATATAAAATTATACATATCTTGTAACTTATCCCATCTTCCGAAAATATTTGGATCAGCATATAAAACTTTTAATTCATTTTCTAATTTTATTTTATTAAAGAATGATGGATAATTTTTAATTACCCTCTCTAATATATATCTTGGAAATTCTTTGGCGTAACTTTTAAATTTTGAAACGTCAAAGAGGTCAAAAATTTGCAAATCTTCAAAATTCGAAAAACGAGTATCTATTTGCATAATAATAGTATCCAAAATTTTAAAATATACTCGTTTTTAGAGAACTGTTTCTGTGTCATGCTGTTTGCGCCGCAAACAATTATTCTAGATTTTTTGTTACAACCGGCAACTGTGGGCGTGACTTCAGCCAGGAGTGCGCGCACCTAACCGACAAGAGAGAAGACATCAGCGAGACATCAACAAGAGAGCAGCTCGCAGTTCAGTGAACAAACAATAAATTCGTTAATTAGTTTCATTTTACAAAAGACGATAGTGTTTTAGTTTAAACAGCGTTTTGTTAGTCAAAATAAAGCCAGTGTTTTACAGTCCACCAAGTTTTTCATTTTGCCTATATTAATAAAACGACAATAGACAATAAACTAAACATTTCTTGGTCACAATCGAGCGCGGATGGAACATTGAACGAACTATAAATAGTTAGTCAAATTAAATTCGGGGCTTCCTATTACAATAGTGCTTGGAACTCACTATGCGAAAGATACGATAGAGCTAAAATGTTAATTCACAAGCACGTAAAAGCACTTTTTAATATAGAAACAATCAGCAAGGAAACTTCACACAAAATCCGATTGGTCGATGAAGTTTCTAATCATTTGCAGGCATTAGAGAATTTAAATAAAAGTACTGACAATTGGGATCTACTCTTAATTCATATAATTAAATCTAAATTTGACAATAATATTTTACGTGATTGGGAAAAACATACTAAAGAGATGCAAGACGAAACGTGGAGCGATTATATTATACTCGAAGCTTTACTTCTACAAGCGAGTTTAACGGTACTAGCAAGGTTTGTGTTTTCTGCAAGGGCGATCATTCGATTTATTCCTGTGAGCAATTTCTTAAGCTTTCTATTTTTGAGAGGCGCAATTTTGTCAATAAAGCAAAATTATGTCTAAGCTGCTTAAGACCAGGTCATATTCGTTCTAAATGCAAACTAGGGCCTTGCCGAAACTGTAAGCAATGGCACAATACTCTTATTCATGAGGAAATTTCTAGTAATAAACATGAAAACAATGAAACTATAGCAAACGATAACACTTCTCTAACTTCCATAACTGCATTGCCCTCTGTGTAGCAAACAATTTTATCAACTGCCTGTGTAAAAATAGCAGATTCGAGAGGTAAATATCACATTGCGCGTGCGCTTCTAGATTCAGGTTCTCAGAAATCATTCATAACCGAGCGCTTATTCAATCTCTTAGGTTTCCAGGGTCAAGCTACCAATCTTTCTATCACTGGCATCAGCAATCAGACTTCTTGTTCTTCCAGAAAGTGCAATATATGTATAGAATCACAATATCACTATTTTAAAGCTGATGTTACATTTTTTATTTTAAAGGAAATAACTAGCAATCTACCTGCAACATTTGTCGATAATGAAACCTTGAATATCCCAAACAATATTATACTAGCGGATCCTAAGTTTCTCGAATCTAGACCTATTGACATTTTAATTGGGGCAGATCTATTTTGGCAAGTATTGTGTCCCAACCAAATCAAAATCAATCAGTACGTTTTCCAAGAGACTCATCTAGGATAAGTTGCATCGGGTCAGGTCGGTCTCTCTAGTTTAAACAATATCAGATGCCACCTCAGCACTAGCACTAATTTGGATCTGCCAATGCAGTTAGCAAAATTTTGGGAATTGGAAGAATGGCAATCTACTAAGATTCTCTCCAACGAAGAACAATTTTGTGAA